CCTTCATACACAGCTGATTGTGTTCGGTTAAAAATATCACTTGAAGCTATTTGTTTGAAGGCTTGAATAGAAACATCGTTAGGGATGATTGTTTCTCCACCACGCATTTGCATAATTTCTCCACCTTCTTCAAACACTTGAGCTAAACCTCTAGGAGCATTATTGGTTCCTGTTGCAAATCTTCTTGAACCACTTGGTCCCCAACCGCTCTTACCATATGGTAAATCACGTCTCCAGTTAGAGTTGTTAAAGAAAGCAAGTAATTGATCATAACCGTTTTTAATATTTTTATGCCCTTTAACAGCATATGATTTGAAAGTACTTGGTACATATTGTAGTAATCCTTGTGCTGGAGTACCTCTCAAGTTATTTATATCGCCAATATTTCCTTGAGTTACACCAGCATTACCATTAGATTCACGTTGAATCTGTGCAATAATACCTTTTAACTCACTATTCGATAAGTTGACTTTCATCTGTTTAGCTGCTCGTTTAATGTCACGAGCCCATTTAGAAGCAGCTTTACTTTGACTACCGCCACCGTTATTTTTCTTCAACCAATTAGTAGGGTCTTTAGGTACGCCATTCCATCTCATTTCATAGTGCAAGTGAGGACCTGTAGAATCTCCGGCATTAGGTCCTTGTTTGCTAGGATCACCACCAGATTTACCAAGATATGTTCCTGGTTTAACATCTTTCGTTCCCGTCCATGCCAATTCACTTAAATGACCATAAATAGCTTCAATCCCACCAGCAGCTTTAATCCACATATTGTTACCAAAACCACCATTATAACCTTTTGAACCTGTAGCTTTACCTGACAAAGTTGAATATACTTTTGTTCCATAAGGATAATTGATATCTAATCCATGATGGGCACGTGGGAATGGATAACCCATTCTTGCAGCTTCTGCAGCTGTGTTAGCAAATCCAAAATTGATACCTTTAGATAAATCAATATATCCACCATCGCCACCACCTTGTTCTTCAAACCAAGTTTTGAATAGATCAGTAGCAGCTTTCTTTAATTTACCGAACATACCTTTCATCATATTAAATGGTAAACTTGCAGCTTTAGGTATTCCGAAACCTTCCATGTTCACTCCAAACGCTTCTAATACCTTATTTAACAATTTACCCGGTTTATCTATCCAATCAAGCACATCTCCAACCTTATCGCCAAGCCAGTCTTTACCTTTACTAGCAGCTTCTAAAGTTTTATTAACAACAGCTTTACCACCTTCAACTACTTTAGCAGCACCTGCTTTCGTTGCATCCCATGCATCACCGAAAACATTATCTCCTTTTTTATTCTTCTTAGGTTTTTTATTTGATAAAGTACCACTGTGGAATCTAGGTAATGTACCTCTAGAGAATTGTGGATTATTGCTTAACATTGCATGTGTCTGCGCGCCATTGTAGACAGTAGAACCTTGTGGAAGATATGCTGTTGTATCTCTGT